CTTTTATTTATTTCTACAATGTTCTCTTCCACTAGAGTTGTGTGAATTAATTCTGTTCCATTGTTTCATTTCACTTCTTTAGTAGCTCCTGTTGCCCATTTCAACCCCTTTCTTTCTGACAGTTTTTTTAGCCTCATTTTTATTCTCTTGGTTGTTCTTTCCTTTCTCCAATATTTTTTATTGAATTTTTATTTAAACTTATTCTTTCTTATAACCTTGTGACTTAGTCATCATTTTTAGATGCTTTTGTATTTTCTTTTATTTCCCAAGTTTGATCAACATTTCTTTCCTTTTTTTACTTAATTATTTTTGTTTTTAATTATTGAAGTGGATACTGCATTTAAAAATTATTGCAGAATGTTTATCAAGGACATTTGATTAAGTCTCGAGTACTTGAATAACACCTTTTTTTTTTTAATAAAGAAGGAATTGAGAGAGAAAACTGTAACCACCTGAAATGATTTTTATTTACTGTTTTCTTCCAATAGTAAGTTTGCAAGTAAGGTTTGTTTATACATATGCATTTTGAGTTCAACGTTTTTGTTCGTAGTGGTTTAAGCCTCCTAGTCCAAAAAGCCCTTTTCTCTGGTGTAGCAAACTGTGGCTTGGAGGGGAGAAGTGAGGAGAAATGGTTTGTCCTATAGTTTGTCCTTTGTCTTGCAGGATCCCCAAGATTCTCTCCAGCCCCTGCTTCTTATTTGCAGCAAGTCTCTAGAGGGGCTGCTCCTTCCTCGTCTACCGTCTTCTCTCCCCAGTGCCTTGCTTTCCAAAGGCACGACTTTGAGCCTTGTGTATGCCCAAGCCCCTTCCCAGGTGCTCTGATCTATCAGGATCCTTTCTTGGTAATTTATTTCTCTAGCTTCTTGGGGTGACTTTAAGTCAATCTTTGGGCTTTTATTTCCTTTTCTTTCTTCTGGGCAGCTTTTCATTATTCCCTAACTCTCTGAAAAGTCTTGCCATGAGAGCTCAAGAAAAAACTATCCATGTAGACACTTTCTACTACAGGTAACTAAATAAAGGACTGTGATAGTCCCTTTCTTCTAGCCACACTGTGTGGTTCCATTTGTTTTTCTTCTAATTGCTCAGTTATTTTGACATGCAGGGTTAGGTAGACACCATTGCCTTGGATACTCTAATGTCCTTTGAAATTTTTCTGAATCCAGTTGTTACTTTAAAACTTGTATTGGCAGTTCTAGTTGTGTCTTCCTTGGGACAGTAAAATTTATCAAGGGAAAATTAAGAAAAACTAAAAAGGATAATACTTTAAGAAGAGTTATCTCATTTGGCATTATGGTCACCAGTACATAAGTTATGTGAATATTTTTATTATCTTAATAGAATCTGTAATTTAACTCAAGTGAAGGTAAGAAAAATAAGTTTTATGACATGAACACATAACAATTTATGAACTATAAATGTCTTTATCATATTATTTTCCAAAGATCTATAGATACACAAGCCACCCCAATGATAATTAAACAAAACTGCCTTTTATGTCATGCCTATTTTCATCTTTATAAAAATTATAACTTTATCCATAGTTGTATTCTGTTTCTATAAAATATATTTTCTAAGTTATAAGCATAGAGCATATTTATTGGACATATAAAATTCTTAGACATGCGGACTATCTTGCTGGCACTCCACTCGGGTAGAAGAGGATGTGCGCTCACACAGCCACAACAATCAGTGTCCGAACCAGGATGCTTCTGGGAATTAGATGAAGTGTTAGCAACGATTATGCTGCAGTTAGGTAGACTGGAACCATGGCTCCCCCTAACTGACCAAACTCCCAGGCTTATCTATTATCAGTACACCTTCATTTTGTCCACATTTCAGTCACATGACATTTCCTTTCCCATTTCTCTTGGCATAAGTTCTTCCCTCTTCTCTGAATAAATTTATACACTCTTTGGCATGGATATTTCATATTCATGCCCTGGTCTCATGTTACGTGTTGCTTTCTAAATGCAGTCCTTCACTTTTTCATCATATCCATTATATTCTACCCATTTATATAATTTGTACTGGAGTTTAACGCCCTCCTCTTCTTCTGGGCTGTAAAGGCAATGAGGATGGAACTGCATCTGTGGATCTCACCACTGTCACCCCACCACCTAGAATGTGGTAACGGGTTAGTCCACACTTACGGAATCAATGGATAAATGAATGGATGCCCCTTACTAGCTCCTGGGAAATTGATCTGGGAAACATAATTTAATCTCTCTTAGATTCTGTTTCCTCGTCTGAAAGAGGAAAAAAGTACAACGCTCACAAAGCTGTGTCAGGATTAGGCAAAATAAGGCAAAATGATCAATAGTGCTGGTGCACAGAGCTCAGAGAGCTCAGAAATATCCTGTATGGTTGTAACGGACTGTTCCATTTTAAGCTGAGATCTCCTTTATTCACTGTGCATATTTCAATCAACTTTGATTTGAGATGGAAAGTGCACAGTGACATCAGTCTTGCAAACTGGTGTACATCCTGGCTGAATCCAATCCAATCAGACCTGAAACCAGGGCGTCTGGGCCACGCGCAGGAGTTCACATTGTTTTCTGAGCTGCAACTCCCAGAAACCAAAATGTGCCCATTCGAATATCAAGACCGGGCTCCTCCCTCCCACGCTGTGCATCTCCGGTGGATCCCGGTTCTGGCGCCAGGGTTACCCACCGGGCTCCTCCCTCCCCCGCCCTCCACGCTGCCACCTGGGCCTGCTGTGCCCCAGGAGCTGTTCTGCCCACCGGGCACTCTGCATTCCCAGTGTCCAATGTGGCACTGATCTTCTCTTGCCAATGTTGATTTTAACTCCTGGGGAAGGCCCTGGGTGACTGGGCCACTGTCTGGCAGAACTTCAAACTGCTTGATGTTTCCACTTTTCTTCCACTTTCATTTCTGGAGATTTGCTGAGCTGCTCTAGTCCTTCCTTCATGCACTTAGGGCTAACGTGATGGGGATGGGTAAGAATCTCGCCCTGCTTCCTTCTAAGACCTGGCATCTGCCTGCCCCCAGCCTCTGCCTTCACTCCACTGTGGAACACTTCGGCTGTCAGGCGTCATTTCAAAACATACAAAAAAATGATTTCATGCCTTAAAGTTTTTGTTTTATATGTGTTCATTAGAATAACCACTTTGCAGCTTTTTGTTGTCATTATTGTTGAATATTCATAAGAGTCTGCCTACTTACTGGATAATTATATTACATTAATATGGTATGAATAAATAAAAGCAGTAATTATGCTTTTATCCTGTTCTGTTTTGCAATTTACAGTTTACTTGTTTCAAGAATAAAAGGAAATTGCCACATTTGAAACAATGTTATTTTATTGCTAAACTAGGAAGAACACAAGAAGCCCACCCAGGGTAACAGGTTAAAATATATTTTATTTCTCCCGTTCCTTGTTTAGACAGAGACTTACATCTTGGTATCACATTGCTGACTCATACGTAGACAAAACTAGGATTTTTTTTTTAAGGATAAAAGAAGCATCTCTTAATCAGAAGATGACATTTTCTCCTGGCTATCTTTGATTAATAGCAATAATAAAGGATGGAGACATTTTAACGTGGTTGAAGCCAATCATATTTCAACTTCGAAATCTAAAGATATGTGTCACTGTCTTCAGAGAGGTTGCTTTCCTCTGTCTCTGTCTAGGAAGCACAGACTCCCTCTGAGAAGAACCACAATGCGCCACGACTAGAGTTGGTTCAGCATCCTTGTCCGAGAGTGACGCCATCTACCAAGGATAGACATGGATATAAAAGGGCTCAGAATAAATTCGTATTGATCTTTTGGGCTTACAGTAGGTATTCAATGAATACTCATTGAATGAATCTAAAAGCTTGTTTAGATTTTGATTTTAAAAGTTTCCACTACTTGGCCGGGCACAGTGGCTCATACTTGTAATCCTAGCACTTTGGGAGGCCAAGGCAAGCGGATCATGAGGTCAGGAGTTCGAGACCAGCCTGGCCAACACAGTGAAACCCCGTCTGTACTAAAAATACAACAATTGGCTGGGCATGGTGATGGGTGCCTATAATCCCAGCTACTTGGGAGGCTGAGGCGGGAGAATCTCTTGAACCTGGGAGGCGGAGATTGCGGTGAGCTGAGATCACACCTTTGCACTCCAGCCTGGGTGACAGAGCTAGACTCTGTCTCAAGTAAACCAAAATGAAACAAAACAAAACAAAACAAACAAATGAAGTTTCCACTGCTTTAGGTGAGGCCCTTATCAGCATTGAAGCATATGGCATTAAAATATCTTGAGTTTGATACGAAGAGGAGAACAGACAACGGGGCCTAATGGCGGGTGGAGGGTGGGAGGAGGGTGAGGATCCAAAAACTACCAATCAGGGACTATGCTTATTGGGATTTGGTCATGAAATAATGTATATACCAAACCCCCAGGACATGCAATTTACATATATCGCAAACCTGCAACCTAAAATAAAAGTTCAAAAAATATACCATGACTTTGAAAACATAGTCTGAAAATTAATTGAAGCTATTATATGCTTGGTTATATTTTAAATATTAAAAAATTAATGTGAATGAATTATTATATAATTTGTTTAAAGTTCATTCGTTTTTCAGATATAGTGTTAACTGCTTTTGTATGTAGCTAAACAATAAAGAAAATACACAAGATAATTTTAATCAGATAGAAAAGAAACGTTCCACTTAAGCCACAGGAAAAATGAAACTCCACCCCAGTTCCTCATTGTTTTCTGTGATGTTTGGGTTCATTGTGTGTGAAATTCCAGTCAACATATGGGAAAAGACTGCCTAAATCATAAGTAAAATAATACTTGGAGGCTGGACTCAAAGCATACTTCCAAGTGGCTCAATGTCAATATGAAAGAACATAACAGGTGGTGTTTCCCTTAGGAAAATCTTGGGTTCAATGCTATTTAAGCACTTTCATCAATTTTCTGAATGATAGGATGGGAAGTGTGTTCATTAAGTGTACAAAGAAACCAAGCTGGAAGGAGCAGATAACACCATAGAGAATAGGAACAGATTTAATCATGACCATGAAATCTAACTAAATGGTCAGAGGAGGTACAAGGGTCAGCCCAGGGAGTGCAGGGATTCTACAAGCATGTGTGTGGGGAGCTGCCTAGGAGATGTTCACGGCTGCGGTTTCACCCTGGGTGCACATTATGTTCACCTGGGGAGCTTTGCAAACACACCGAAGCCCAGGCCACAGCACATGCAGCAGCCAGGTGCTCGAGGGGCTGTCCAGGTGGCCTTCAGGTGATTCCCACCAGCATCTCAGCTCGCAAGGCCCTGTTGTAGGAACGGAAGTCGATGTGGTCACAATCTGACGGAAGAAGGCCTACACTCTATGCTGAAAAGGATGCAACAAAGTCGTTTGGAAATTTAAAAACAAAAAACATCAGTGTAGGAAGCTTGTGAATTATTTTTTTAAAATCACATGAGATGCATTATCCAGTCCAAATGGTAATTACTTATATTATCCCAACAGCCACAGTTATAGTTTTAAAAACTTGACATCGGTCTCAGTCTCTTGTTTTCATGTCATCAGTTTAGTTTTTACGGTTGTCGTTACTACTGTCATTATTCTGTTTTTGCCGGAGGGGGGAGGAGGTGACTGTCTTGCCCTGTTTGCCACCTGCCCAAAGGAACGGAAAGAAGCAGCTTTCACAGCCACTTGGCTGTACCGTCAGGCAGAATTTGCCTGTCACTGGAGACGTACCTGCAACATCTTCGGCTGCCCAGCTTTTCAGATGGTCCGTGCAACCCCTCTGAAGAGGTGACACACCAGGACTTAAGCAGTTGAAAGGGATTCTGTAGAGAGCAGCAGAAACGATTAAAGACTCGGAAAATAGGACCTATGAGGAAGATTAAAGGATCTGTGATTATTTAGCCTGGAGAAGAGAAGCTGACCTAATAACCATCTTCAGGATGCTGAAGGGTTATTATGTGGAGGGTGGTGACCAGCTGTTCCTCTCTACACTGACGATAGGAAAAGAGGAAATGGGCTTAGGTTTCAATAGGGAGGGTTTAGGTGAGCCCAGAGCTTCCTCCACCAGACCAGGCACTGAGTTAAGATGCGCAGTTGCTGGGGGAGTGGGTGGGGTGGGGGGGTGGGAGGCAGTGTCCGCTCGGAGAGGTGCCCGTCCACAGGGGTGACATGGCGTGGTCCCAGGCAGGGGCACAGGCTAGAGAAGCTTGAGCATCCGTACCCTATGCCCACAGTGTGTAATGGTCCCAGTGCCACGCTCCCATTTCCATTGGTTATCTGCGCAGTGCCTTGAAGAGTCCTGTAAACGCTTGTCTGTGTGAAGGTCAAGCATTCTAAAGGGCGGCTCTGCGGAGGGTGTGCACTCACTGGACGTGACGAGCCAGCCAGCTGCTGTTTCTTCTGTCTTTATTTTCATAGATTATTGCAGTCGCATCATCAAAGGAACTGCAATGCTGTTCTGAAGGAAATAAAAATTAGAATCAATTCTAGCTTTGAGTTCAAATTATTTTCTATTGGTTTCATCTTTGATGATTTTTTTAAAAATGTGTTCATTGGTATTTTTGTTCAATAGGGAGAAAGTCAAGAGAAAGGTGCTATTTTTGCCATTTTGAATTTCTATAATCAAACCCATTTCTAATACATAACTCTTATGTGGGTCTTGCATAAGCCTCAGGCACACATAATTTGGGAATTATTCCTGGTTCCAGTCAAAGCTTGCCTCCTTTAAACCATCACAAAATGGAAATTACTGGTCTGTTATAAATGAGATACAGTCTTCTTTTTTTTTTTTTTTTTTTTTTGAGTATACAAACATTCCTCTTTTAATAACTGACAGAATAATCAGAGAAAACAAATCAATAAGGATACAGAAGTTGTGAGCGACACTATGAACCTCCTTCACAGAACTAAAATTTATGGAACTCTTTGCATTTTCTTTTTTTTTAATTATTATTTTTATTTTTTTATTTTTTTATTTTTTATTTTTTTATTATTATACTTTAAGTTCTAGGGTACATGTGCATAACGTGCAGGTTCTTCTTAAGATACATTTTTTGTGGGGTGGGGAGTTATTGGCTATCAGTCTCATGGTTTTTTTTGTGCCTTCACCACTCATGACAATGTTTGTAATAAATTCGTTATGGCCACAGAATAAAAATATTATCTTTTATTTCCCAGTGAGATACTTACAATATAGCAAAAGTGAGGCCAGTGAAACATTAACCAAATCCTTTTATTTTTCTTTCTTTTTGTGTGGGGAAGGCTCTAATTAAACATCATTGCTGTCATCAGATAGTTTCAAAATCTGAATTTATTTTATAAGGTGCATCTCCTCCCAAATGCAATATTCCAGCCATATGAGAATACTTAATATTCCTTGGCTACACCGTGACTCTCCTCTTTTTGCACATCGTGGTTCTTCACCCTTCCCCCTTCCAGGGAACCCCTTCTATCCCCACACCCCACTCCTGTTTGTCCTTTAATTATCTGGGAAGTCAATATTTCATTATAGTACTACACATGGTGTATTGTAATTTCCTATGTACTCACATGTTTCTCCCATAGAACCATAAACTCCTGAGAACATGTTCCCTCACAATTGCATTATCATTGTCTAAATGTGTGTATTACTCAGACACTCAAGCAATGGGTGGTGGATTGTGGAGGGTGGAGGGCTGGGTGGAGGGGTGTTTGGAGGAAGGAAGGATGAGTGGAGGTGGATGGTCAGTTCTTGGCTGGAAAAATGGGCACAGAGAGGGGTGTGGGGAGGTGGAGGATGGGGATGGATGTTTGGGGGTAGAAGGGTGGATGGAGGAGGAGTGTGAAGAGGTGGAGTCTGGGCAGGTGGATGGAGGACGGGCGGGCAGATGAACAGAGCTACACTGTGTGGGGAGATCTGTCTGGGTCAAGTATTGTATCACGAACACTGGTCTTATTAACACCCTAGAGTAAGTCATTTACTGAAAGACATTATGCTGTTTTACAAGAATCAATTTCATTATATTGCCATTGTTGAACTTCCTTAATTTTGGAATCCTGTTCAGTCTATTTTAAAGGAAAATGTATTTTTAAATCATGTAGACTTTTCCATCTGCCACACAAATACTGATATACAATTCTTATTTATTTTGGTGCTTTAAGTGGCAGCGAGTGCCACCTGCGCGAAGAAGCCACACCTTGTCCACTGACGGTGGCCAGGAGCCTAGTGGTCGGCAGACCACACTCATCGCAAGGCTATGCCTTGAATGTTGACACCCGTCAGTAATTTCAATTTCTGTCAGGTTTAGGGAGGAGGGGACTCTGGGACGCCTCTGATTTTTTTTTTTTTCCTTTGTAAGCAGAAGTCAAAGTGTTTTACAAATCATCAGGAAAACATGATGTATTCACATTCACATTCTTTAAGAATGGGCAGAGGGGAACTATTTTTATGCTCAAGACAGATTTTTAGAAAGAAACCTGCTTTATAAATCTGACCAAAAGAATCAAAACCGTTCTCCTCTTTCAGGATTAAAAGTCGATACACTCCCTACAAGCACACAAAAGCGTGATCCCTTCAGTCAGAATTTTATTAACAGTTCTTTGTTTTTCCCTCTACTTTTCTCTAAACCTCGAAACAGAGAACCAGCTTTTCTTTTTGGTGGAGAACACCGGTAGGTAGACATATCCCTCTGAATTTCACCAAACCACTGAATGTAGCTACTCCTTTGGATATGGAGAAGGGATGGTTTGCTTTTGTTAAAGCAGTCTCCCATTAAATAAATAGTAGTGAATGATGCTCCAGAAACTATTTTAAAACAATCCCAGTGTGTAAATAGTAATAGTATTTTAAAGACACATATCTAACACCGGATAAAAACTGCAAGTTGCTGAAGAACGCACCGAAGTAGTCAGGGTTCTCCAGAGGGACAGAACTACTAGGATTTATGCACGTGGGAAAGGGAGTGTCTTAGGAAGAAATGACTCAGATGATCACAAAACCTTCTGCAAGCTGGGGAAGAGAGAAGCCAGCAGCGGCTCAGTCTGAGTTCAAAAGCCTCAGAAGCAGGGAAGCTTACAGCATAGCCTCCAGCCTGGAGTCAAAGGCCCGAGAGCCCGCAGAAAAGCCACTGGTGCAAGTCCCAAAGTCCAAAGGTCGAAGCACCTGGAGTCTGATGTCCAAAGGCAGGAGGAGCAGAAGTGAGCCTCTGACACAGAGAGAAGAAAGAAGGAAGCCAGGAGATTCAGCAAACTGCTCATCCCACCCTCTCCCGCCTGCTGTGTTCTAGCCGTGCTGGCACTCAATTGGATGGTGCCACCCACATTGAAGGTGGGCCTTTCCCTCCAGTCCACTGACCCAAATGTCCATGTCCTCTGGCAACACCCTGCCAGACACACTGAGAAACAATACTCCACCAGCCACCTAGGCATCCTTCAGTCCCGTCAGACACACTCAGAAACGATTCTTTATCAGCCATGTGGGCATCCTTCAGTCTATCAGACACACCCAGAGACAATTCTTTACCAGCCACCTAGGCATCCTTCAGTCTCGTCAGACACACCCAGAAACGATACCTTACCAACCATTTAGGCATCCTTCAGTCCCATCAAGGTGACACCTAATACTAACCATCACACCCACTATGCATGTTTCTGCGCAACAGAGTGCACTGTTTCTGTTGTATTCAATTTACGCTACCCAGATAACCACAGACTATAATTAATGTCATTAAATGCTCAAATGCCCTTGATGAAAACAATAGAATAACATGCAAAGTTATTTTAAATAATTCACTGGAGATTAAAATAACTGTAAACAAAGATTCTTGGGTTCTCAGGATGGAACACATTTCTGGTTCGCCTAAAATACTTAACACACTAAACAGCAGAATGTATGGAAGACGTTGGTTCTCTGGAAAGCAGGCATTTGGGATTTTACTTCAAGACATTGAGGATATTTGAATCTGGGTAACTGAAGACAATAGTAAAAGATTTTTTGAAGATTTTGAAAATGGATATATATTCACTAATCGACTCTAAGGACAGGGAGAATAATCTATGTATATACGTATTTATTTATTTCTGAGGTGGAGCCTCGCTCTTGTCACCCAGGCTGGAGTGCAATGGCGCGATCTCAGCTCCCTGAAACCTCTGCCTGTCAGGTTCAAGCAATTCTCCTACCTCAGCCTCCCAAGTAGCTGGGATTACAGGCCCCCACCACCATGCCCATCTAATTTTGTTTTTTGTATTTTTAGTAGAGATGAAGTTTCACCGTGTTGGCCAGGCTGGTCTTGAACTCCTGAACTCAGGTGATCTGTCCACCTCAGCCTCCCAAAGTGCTGGGATTACAGGCATGAGCCACTGTGCCCAGGAGATGTATTTGAAATAAAAGTTCCTATGAGGCTTTTAAAATCTCAGGTGAGAAGAGCTGTGCGTCTGTCTTCCCCAGCCGAGCCCTCTGCTTGTGGGATATACCCCCTTTATCCTCACTGGCACTTGGTTCTAACAGTCATCTCCCTTGTCCGGCCTCAGCCGATTCACCCCCTCAGCCTCCTGAGCCGAGCACTGGGCACTTATATGATCTCAGCCAGGATGGCACCTGTCACCCGCTCCTCTCCTTCTTATTGAAGTAAAACTCCTTGAAGGTCTAGCCACGCCTGTGGTTGTCAAACTTCAGCGTGAGCACTTGCATTTCTGACAAGCTCCCGATGCTGACGCTGCTGGAATGGGACCCCGTTCAGAACCAGGGGGCCGCGCTCTCCTCCGACCTCACTCCTTTCCCCACGCTCTCTTTACAGCCTAAATGGTTCTGTGCAAGTTCCGCTTCACGTTCCACCACGTCCGCTTCCATCAAGTACAGCAATGACTTCCTACCTGACATTCA